CTTTGGAAGGCCATGGCAGCCCAGGTCCTAACGGTCATATCCGAGGAAGCTGAGGCGAGCCGTGTGGAATCATGAGAGAAGATGAGATTGACTGAATCGCCATGGCCCTCCAGTGTCTGTAGGCAAGCAGTCTTGTTATCTTGTGTGTTATGGGCTAGCCTCATATCGGAACAATATCCATATCACTGCGAGGTGGGCCGAGTATAAGCGCTGAGCCATACATTTGTAAAGGGCCGTCTGTTCCCTATTGCACAGTCATGGCACTGAATAAAACGGTGCACATCTTTGATGGGGTTGATCAATTGAAAGTCTCTTGAATTTGCCTAAGTTATTATTAACATCCAAATACCATGGCACATATGCTTGGAGGCTAAATTGAACTAATGCTCCAGTTTTGACATTGAAAAAACGCCTTCCGAGACACCTCTCAGAGCCTCCAGCCGTTGAAGATACTTTTTCCCTAAGGAATCCTGAATTACACTTCCGTCTTGGAGGTCCTTATCCTTTTGCACGGTCTGACTAGAATAACAATCACAGAGGTGCTCGACCCAACAGTTGCAGGAATACGATGCTTCAGCTAGTCGATCTTGTTGGCGTCGTCTGATCCGGGTAACAGCAAACCCAGGCGCATTCAAGGAGTTATTGTCACACTGTAGAATCCTTTTCATACTCTCAAGAGACCTTGAGAAGATCGTACGGTGAATTTACTCCGTCTCAAAAAGACAGCGGAATCCTCGCGCCAAGTTAGATATGTTTCCACCTAGCATTCATCAGAACCGTCAATCACCAAGAAGACACTGTTTAAAGTATGTTCTTCCAGGATCTCAATAAGAATCTGGGACACGGCGAACCATGAATTTACGTTTTGATACAGATCGGACTTTCGCATATGTGATATTAGCGACGGTTGCTGGTCAATCAGCTGACAGATAATGCCACAAAGGACGGTTGTAGCGTTGTTAATTCGTGAATTGGTAGCTTGACAGAAGAAGAATGATAAGACACTGAATTTCCCAATTGACTTCTTCAACTTGTCCATGATGCGATGCCGCACAACGGCATCGTCTCACCCTTTTCAGGGTTACCCGGATCCAAAGAAGTCGGCACACTGGACTATCACACGTTGGAAGTCGAGTATCCAGATATATACGTATTTCAGGAGGTTTCCCTCGGCCTGTTGGATATGTGCCTTCTCATTTTCAAGATCGGTCGCACACAAGTCCCTGAGACACTGGCGGTCCCCTCTGTCATCCGTAATATATGGAATACTTAACAGTCTCAGTTTGATCCTGCTGCTATCAACATCTCTGGATGTGTGCAGACTATGGGCGGTGTCGTGCTAGAATATATATCCCGGGGACTTGAGTACGAACCAGATACAATACACTCCTTCTTCAAGGTGATTGACATGCTGCTGAATAACATTGAACTAATGTAATTAACCTAGAGTAAAAGGAGGAACCACTAAACTAAATCTCCTAAATATGTACTAAAGACAAAAGTGAATGGTTCTAGAGACTTTTAGATCTGCGGAATTCGCCCTCAGGTTTGACAAAACACATCACACCGAGATCAGAAGCAGAGCATTTGAACAATAATAAGGGGATCCAACGGATGTATGTCAAATGGAATATTGAAAAATTTTCTCTGACAATTAGATCCGCGACCGGTGATCTTTGCCGTGACTTAACAAATGTTGTATCCTATGCAATTCCCTTGTTCCTTGTCATGTAGAGGTAGTTTAATACTGTGGCAGGAAGACCAATAGATACTTTCCTCAACACGTGTATACGGATAACCATAACGCTCGATGATGTATCCTTTACCATCGCACTACGGATTGACATACTAGTTAGACAGGTTTATGGAGTATATCAAAAGGAAAGGGGATTGGTGCTCCCACAAGGAGATCCAGTCGTCAAGATACTATGTGCCTGTTGAGCGTAGTTGCACCCATCGACCACATTTGTGTCAGAGAAAGCAGCGTCCCACATCATAATACCACCCCATTTTGAGCTGGTGTGGAAGGAAGACACGGTACTTGCGAGGGTTTTTGGACACTGGTAGTATGCGGCCCCGCTGTCGGTGCCAGTCGAGCCAAGCTCAGAAGCAGGAACACCAATAAAGATTTTAGCATTGGCAGAAGGAGTTCCAGAGACGTATGAAACCCAGTCTGCGTAGTTGAGGGTGTTAGGGTACGAGCAGTCTCTATTGTTATAAAACTGTACCCAAAGATAATCAAATCGAGCAGCATGAATAATTTCTCCCATATTAGGCTCCGGGATGGGGCATTGGGGGGCACCAGTAATATAGTAAGTATTGCTCGAATCTGATACAAAGTTGGAGCGGAGCTTAGCAATCATATACTGGTAGTACTGGTTGCCGGAATTGGCTTCAATATCAAAGTCCCAACCGTTGACAAACGTAGCTCCGAATGGTCGTGGCACGCTTCCTCCAGAGGTCTTTCCGTAGGCATCCCAGAGATTTTGGCCGATTGTTTCCGCTTCGGCCTGAGATGTGAGGGAGTAGGCACCAACAGCACCACCAAGCGAAAGGATAACCTTGACGCCATTTGATTGGCAAGTTGCAATCTGTTTAGCGAGAGCGTCACAGTTGGTGCCCTCACCAGAAGTGCTGATAGAGCAATCATTGCCAATAACACCTGAAGGGATTGTAATACCATTTCCGTACTCGTAGAGGAAAGAAAGCACAACAATATTGATACCGGAGCCAGCAGTGCAATAATTCGAAAGATCGTTGTTTTCACTTGCTGCGGCCGCGTTTTGGCCCCAGTAAACAACGACTTCACCACCAGGGCCACGTCCCTGGAGTCTGTGAGAAGCAGCCATAGTGGAGCTGGCCATAAGGGCGAAATTGATAAGAACAGTTGAGATTTGCATGGTTATTTACTGAGCTGTATCTGACAAGTATGCTAGATAGCTAGGCTTAGAAAGTTATGTACCGGTGTTTTTAATGATTTAATTAGCGTTAAACTAGTGAGAAAGTTGAAAGGAGAGACAGGCTCCTAAATTGAGGGAGAGATATTTAGAACCTTGCGTAGAAGGTGAGACAAGGATAATTAGCTCAGAGACTAGGTGGCATCTATATATAAAAGCTCCAAAATGCTGAACCTTACATTTCCTATTTTAGAAACAAGGTTAGGAACCTCGAAAAATTGCCAAACTCCTAACGCGGCCTATTTTCGGTTAATAGATGACATATTTTCTTTTCCGGTTCTCAGGAGGAAAATGATTACGTTAAACGTCGACTAAATACTGTAGCTATACTGTGCTCTACCGTCTCGTGCACGCTCTCCCCTATATAAAATCTTTACTTTTTTAAATACTTATTACTGTATTACGCTCTCAATCCATTATATGTATTTGGAGTGTGAACAGCCCTCGTTTAAAATGGATGAAAAGATCCATGATTTGGAGACTTATCCCACCATTTGAAACAACAGCTGTCATTATAATGCTTATCTATATTAGGTAGTTCGATGCAACAACCCTATCATGATAAATGGCAATTCATTTCAATCGACGTACCTGAGAATGCGGTAACAGGAAATTTAAGTGTGTCGCAAAAATATAATGAGACAACGCCATGATCCTCTCCTGCATACCGCAAGGACAGTTACTGAATATCTTATTGTGTAAGTGCTGTTCCTATAACCGACGGACGTTGATACGCAATTGTCGATGTAATGCAGTCCACGAAGCCAGGTGGTCCTGCGAGAGGATCCAAGCTTCGAGTCTGGTGTCCAGTTTCCCATTGCTCAAACACACATCCAGGCAGCGTTACAGTAGATATGACGCAATCGTGGTGAGAGATTTGGAGGATGTGAAGTCCTTCGCAATGAGGAAACCTCCTTGTAAGGTAAATGTAGCATGGATGCAGCCTGCGGGTATATAGATGGTATGGGTGCGATGTCGGCACTATCACCCTCCTTCCAACTGATGCATAATCCGCATGGGCTTTACTCGTTGGCTGTCCGCCATCGTCATAGCCCTTAGGTTGGCTTCCGACGGAGGATACAACAGCCATATCTTTCGGCAATCGCTGACCAGAGTCGACAAACCGTCCACTCCATACTCTGGCACGGACGGCAATCGTAAACCCGTGAGTAACGCAGGATAGCACGGGTTCAGGTCAACTAGTTGCGCAAGGACGATTGTAGGATCGATTTGATTCGTTAACTTCGCCTTGATAATTGATCTGGAAGTCCTCTTTAGAAGTAGACTAAATCTGTTTGCTCCTGATTTTAATCAGTGCGGCGCCGACTGCCACAAATGATCAGACCGTTGGTGGGACGTCATCTAAAGGGTACAGAGTACAATGCTTCAGGCCACCGAACGCGGGTTCAAAGCTCTCCTGAATTTCTTTCAAGGCTTCACGTACAAAAACCGGGATAGGCCCAAATTGTCTTCTCTTGCTGAGGCTGAACCTTTCGCCATGTTTATCATTTCCCCATGAAAGGGGGCCGACGATCCAGTGAGTTATTTCTGTTATTTTACTGTCGCGGCCAAAATGTCCTTTCTTATTTTGGACAGTAAGATTGTTCCCGAACCCTAATACCAAGTTATCCTAGCTATACAGTATACAGTTAGTGCTATAACTAGCTTTTCTGTTCCTGTACTGAAATCTATAATACTAAACGGAAAGAAATAAGTAGACTGTATTATTACAGGACTAAAAATAGATAAAAATACATACTGTCTATCACGTCACTTGCTATGTCACCTGAATTCAGGAAATCTGTCTCTTCACATCAACTCAACAAAATGGCCCGACATATGAAGCCCTGGCGTCGTATGATGATTGTTTATATGATACGTGGTGGAAAATTTACCACATCAGATATAGCACAGGCTGCGGATTGTTCTGATGTTTCAGTTTCAAATATTCGTAAGAAGTTGCAACTGTTTGGCTGTGCTAAACCTGACCTAGTCCATGCTGGTCGACCACCAAGCGCCACCCCTCTGATGATCACTAATCTTTGCAATCATCTTGCTAAACATCCTACGCTCTATGTTGGAGAGATGGCTATCTATCTCTAGAATGAGTTTGACATTTCACTGCCTTCCTTGAGCAGCGTTAAACGAGCCAAATAAGAAAGTCCGATACAAAGCAACAGAACCCTCAATTACGAGCGTTCTACCAGCACAAATTGTCCAAGTACTTTTCATATTAGCTAGTTTTTGTCAACGAATCTGGATGCGATAAATGGGCAGGACATCTGGTCTCCACTTGGCATGGCACCAGTTCAAGTATCGAAATTTCATCGAGGCCAGCGATATCAGATATTACCAGCATACACTCAGGATGGTATTATTGTATCTGATATCTTTCAATGCTCCACTAATGCTGTGATCTTTGAAAACTTTATTGAACGACTTCTTCAACATTGTGGGAGGTATCCAGCTCCAAAATCTGTGCTTGTCATGGATAATGCATCATTCTATCGCTCAGATTGAGTTAAACCTGTAAGTTGTATTTGCCACCTTATTCACCTGATTTCAATCCTATTGAGGAATCCTTTGCTGAGCTGAAGGGTTATATCAAAAAGGTTTGGCCAGCATTTGAAGAAAGTCCTGAACAGGAATTTCGTAATTTCCTTCAAAGATGCATTCTTGCAGTCGGTGAAAGAAAAGAGAGCGCAGAAGACCACTTCCAGCACTCAGGGATTACAATTAAAACAGGAGATACGGGCATTCGATGGGAGTCCATACTATGCACAGTGAAGCAATCTCAGAAACTTCTATTTCTTTTTGGATGCTTTTGCTTTTTCCAGTGTGTCAGCGAACCGAACATCATTAAATTGCTTTACTATACAGTAAAATTGTTTCTAATACAGGCAGCCCCAAATGTTTACCAGCCATCCTTCAAAATCAACTACATCTAATCGGACAGAGTACTATATGACCTAGTTACGATCCTTTTCCATGGCAGACAGTCGTGACACATTCCGGGAAGGCGCGACCTGGGCTCCCACTAGAGCGACGGGTCCGTCGCGATTACGTAAACTTTAAGATTATGTAATCCTCTAAAAAATCCATCTAACTTATCAGAACCTCGGCCCATTCTTCTCTTTAGTCGACCTCCGTGCTATAAATGCATAACCCCTAACAGCAGCCGACATATTAATGGACGTTCGAATAAGGCCTCTCGGGAGTCGTAGATAGATTCGGGAGGGAGGCAATCGTCTGTGAAGGTAGCCATGGTGTTGGTGTTGGTGTTGCAGGCGCTGGGCCGAGGTTCTGATAGATGGATTTTTTAGAGGATTAACTTACATAATCTTAAAGTTTACGTAATCGCGACGGACCCGTCGCTCTAGTGGGAGCCCGCGACCTGGTACATGTTGGATTAGCTAAGCTGATCCAGCCAATCAGACATATGGAACTTGTCAGCCAATAAGAGCGAGCCACACACTGATCCACGGAATAGGGGGTAGAAGATATCTCCCACCTTTTACTGTACTTAGAGACAAGAACAAGGACAACAAGAATCAAGGATTCCATACTCTTGCCTACATAATTTGATACGTTGAGATATACCCTTTGAGATTGTTACGTACAATCCAACAGTACACTGATTGCAAAACCAGTGCACGCTTTTACTCACTTCAATTATTCTCAAGTTTCTCAACCCCTGTAGCTAAGATGAAGCTAGTCTATATCCGTAAATTATTCTGAGCCCGTGTCTCGGGATCCAGTAATGAGACGGTATGGAGTATTTATGTAGATTGGGTGTATTCGTATTACAGATGCTACCCGCGCTTCTACCTGGCGGGAGATCTTCTATGCAAACCAGGGCAAGTTTGCGGCTGTGCCAGCTGTAGGCCATGTACTTACTTCCTTACGTACCATTCATAAGCCTTTGACATCCAATTAATTGCTTCATCAATAACCTCTGAAGCTCTTCCCTACGTCAGCTTATACGCTTTTTATTATAGTCAATTGACGCTTGGATTGACGTGGATTTTGAGAAGTCTGTAGGCCAGATGATTGTAATTTGTTAGATCGATGTAGAGGAGGTGTTGGAGTCTTTAATTGGATAGTAAGCTGTCGAGCTACATTTTACCACGTTGCTTTGAAAGGTACATTTTTTATGGCCCCTTTTTTTTATATTCTTAAATGAAACATCGTGTGAGTACTGTATAGTATCGTCCACAAAGCACCGCGAAAAAATTCTAAAAAGGAGTAAATTGGAGCAAAGTGTTCTGATTATACTTTTGACAGCTACCGCATTCTGAAAGATAGTGAGCGCATCACTTGTAATCATAACGCGTGTGAATTCTCGGGATGACGATGCTAGTCTTGGAGCCCTTTGGATTCAGCAATAGTTCTCAGTCAAGAAGGATAATTAATTAAAGTTGCATGGGTCTCCGGGAGGTATTAGGATTTCAAGTGACTTTATGTTATTTTACAGTAAGTTACGATACAGTGAAACTTGTGGAACATCATTAATCCGGGGCTTTCCCAGATGTAGGTTAGGGTGAAACAAGTCAAAACAATCGAAGTGAGTAGAAGCGTGCACTGGTTTTGCAATCAAGTGTATCGGAATGGCAGGGACTGGGCAAAGGAGCAAAGGGACGAAGAAATAAGACAAGCAAATGAGAAAGGCGCTCGGGTTATCACTGAATCCAGTGCCATAAATACGAGCTTCGGCACAGTTTGTGAAGTATCGAGTACCGAGTCAACCGCATCTATCACTGAACAGTCCTAATCTCATCCAGCGCCACAAATACAATGGAGGCACATTTATTGCAGTCAACACGCTCACTCTCGCCGAAGCCGTCTGTAGAAGGAATAGAATATATCATAGATTGAACGATGTGTCCGAGTCCCCGTGCAATCAGGCTTTATATATAGCTACTCAGATACCTTCCGACAAAGGTGTTCATGCAAGAAGCAAGGTTCGGAACGAGTGTGGAGAATCAGCGGGTATCAGTAAGATCCTATACCAGACAAAAAATTTGACACTTACTGCAAAACTTTTAACCCAAGATGCTGAATCTTTGACCAGTATGGTTACGTCGTGGAAAGAGGTCTATGGCCTGCTACTAGCACAGCTAGAAAATCGAATAATGAAACAAGGTGTTAAGGATTTCACTATCATAGTGTATCAGATCTTCTACGAGTACATGTGGCAGAAATACATGTAGCTCACCCAAATCTAGGTAGAAATCAGTAAGAGTATAGATAGAATAGATAGAGTAGTTTGCACTTTCAGTGTCTTCGATGTAGAATAAAACAAATCCAAGAAAAACTATTTCCTAGTTATTGGATAGTTATAAGTACTATTTTCGGTTCATTGACTGGATGATCGAGTTAGCGTGAATATGTCAATCTATTCGAGTTTTTGGATAGCGGTATAACAATTCATCTCTGTCGATATTACAATTTCATGTTGTATTATGAAGAATCCGTCCGAAAACTTTAATTCAAGGTCGAATTTCTGCTCTGCGATTCGGAGATCATCTGTTCAGTGAGCTTCCAAAGCTCCGCCTGATTCTTCTTGTCTAAGATATGGATGTGCAATTCGTCATCGGCTACTGCATTATCATGAAGAAATGCGCCATTATTTTCTAACAAAATGTAAGAACTCAAATATACGGGATACGTGGGAACATTCTGCGGACCTCCAATCCTAGGGTCAATCATGCCCGTAATAATAGTTGCCGCCCCTTCAGACTTCGTTGTTATTGGCGGGAGTTTAAAGGGTTTGCCATCAATATCAGTTAGATCTGAGTTTGGTGTTACTATTTTTTGTTCAAAAGAACTAGCCCCTCAGGACTTACCTTTAGACAGTGCGAGATTTCTAGCTCTTTTTCCAAATTCTGGGGTAAAATGACGCTGAATACCGGTTTGGACAGCTAGTGATAGTCAATAAATCAGGTAAGCTACTTCACTGTGAATGGGATCCTAATTACGCACCGCCTGGATCAATGCTAAAAACTCGAATGCCATGGCCTGCTAGCCTATCTGCAAGAGCCTTCGCAAACATGACTCGGGCGGCGTTCGATTGACAATATGCCATCAAAGAATCGCAAGTTTCGCCCTTCTGGAATAAATTAGCACAACGCGGTCGAGCGCGAAGAGGGAAAGAAGACCGCACTGTAGATCTGATGTTTTCCAAGTCAACTTTTCCAATCCGTACTGCAGTACTCGCAACGATGGTGATAGACGATCCATTCCCAGCCTCCTTAATTTTCGACAGAAGCAAGTCGACTAACATAAAGTGGCCTAAATAGTTCACCCCGAATTGGGTTTCAAATCCATCCTTGGTGGTTCTATAGGGAGGAACCATGACACCTGCAACACACGCAAGATGGTCTATCTTGGAGATGTCGTGGAGATTAGCAATCGCAGTTTCGATACTACTCATATCTCCGAGGTCCATTTCGAGAAATCGCGTGGCTACATGGGGCGCGGCTGATTTGATTCTTTCAACTACAGGCCCGATTCTGTCCCCGGCTCGAGCACTTAGAATGAGGAGATGTGGGCTTGCCGTGCTCAATTGAATAGCAAGCTCACCGGCTATAGAGTTACCAGATACACCGGTTATCAAAACTGGGACAGATAATGGATGTTAGTAAAGTACTATATCCAAGGAGAGTGAGTATAGATCCCGCGCGTAGGGGACTTGCTTGTCTTCCCTTTCAAGGTACTTCCATACTGTTGTAGGACATTCTCTGAAAGAAGGATTTGCTTCGAAGACATGTTAGTCCGCGACCAAAATATTTTTCTTCATTGCTAAATAGATGATAGAGGGAAGGGAAACTTCAGAACTTTGATTTAGATGAATAGAAGTAGTTTGAGGTTATGTAATTGCACCTAACGTTAGTTAACGTAATCCACAGGTGAACCGGCCACACAAGCGACCCGGCCACCATCAATACAAAATGGCATATGTTCATACCTTTATTACTCAACACCAGTGACTTGTCTCGATTTATAACGTATATATTGACCTTAATTTACCCGAAATAATAGTCAGGTTCAATTTGAGATAGTATATTATTGTAATTCTATATATAAAATATAATATAAGATTAGTGTAATTAAAGAAAATATAAGTAATTTTTAGATATACTTGCTTATACCCCTAGATACTTTGTGAATAGATTAATAATGATATATTTAAAATATAGACTTTTAGACTAATTCAAGACGAGTCATTGGTGTTGAGTAATAAAAGTATGAACATATGCCATTTTGTGGCCGGTTCACCTGTGGATTACGTTAATAGTGCGCTAATTACATAACCCTTTTCTCGCGATAGCCCATGTTTTGTTCTCGTATGCATGATGTTTGGATATCTAGGCTGGTGTGTTAGAGGTTCCCTTGTTTGATATTCTGGCTGGTAGATACGCTTCTAGGCTGTTTTCTTCAAGTGTGCAGTGCCCTATCGTTGGCGGCTGCAGCAAGGTCTACCCAGGAAGGGTTGGGGGAAAGAAAGGGGACATATCAGTGATATGATATGGTATTTCAGAACAGCGCTCTGAAATAACATATCAAGGATCTGTCAAGGACGGATACAGTATATAAGGACACTCATTTACCATGTAATTAGTTTTGCTCTACTGTCTTTTATTAACTGTACAACCTAGGGTATAAGAGTACATACTGTACACGGATTACCTTAAGCTAGTTAAGCAGCTATCTCCCGTATTTATCCCTTTGATATATCGCGCTACTTGTCTTTGGAAACTCTCGTTAATAGAATACTACCGAACCTTAGTTTAGTGATGAGTTTACTCTAATCTGACTTACCCGCTAAGTAAGGTTTTCGACAGGGGTAGGATTACTTCGTTTTCCACTCTGTTGATTGAAATTCAGATTCAGATTCCTGTGCCAGTCTTCGTGTCGCAATCGCATATTTGATTGCTGCATGGACGGCCTTCATGTCAGGTTGCTATCGATCCGGGTCGGAGCGTGATTTCCCGCCTAGATAGAAGGGTAGATTGCCTCTTTCGACTCTATCCACTGGTTCATGCTTTCTCTCATTGCTGTCCATCTTGTGCAGCGGAATGAAGAGTGCTCTACTGTCTCGCTTGCTTGACCACAGGCACAAAGATCGGGTTCCACTCCTCCTGTTTTATCCAAATAGCTGTTGAGTCTTGACGTTCCTGTCTGAAGTTGGGCCAGGGTCTTCGCTTCTTCTCGATTCAGTCCGTCATTAGGCTTTTGACATGCTTTCCTGAGAGCGCCGTGTCGATAGCATGCCAGCATTGCAAGCCATCTCAAATACATAGAATAGTTAAGTCAAGCTAGAGGATTACCTAAGCGGTTCAGCAATCTGACCCAGGCAATGAGGCGGCGGATTGGCTAGCCTAAGAAGCAATTAATCCAGATAAGGAATACCCCTTTCAACATCTTCTTTTACGGGGAAAGGGATTTATCCGCAACCGAATCAAGGAAGAAGGGGAATAGAGATGGAAGACCTCCAAGTTCACTAGATAGATAAAAATCTACCCTCCATTTGCAGCCGAAGAATGTATAGCTTGCTGCCGCAGAATGATTGATTGATTGATTAATTCATCTAACCGTCCCAGCTGCCCCAAGGCAGCTATGCGGCATGTTGCTGCCACAGAATGGAGCCTACTTGCTTACTAACTCTGAACTAGCCATTCATGGCTAGCAACGCATGGCAACTACATAGAGAAGACGACAAGTGTGAATATAGGGCTGCGGAAACAGTGGGTTCACATCCTGCCCAACATTGAAGGTACGACGAGAACTACGGAAGAAAATAGGGAATGCATTTAACGACATTTCAGATATGTTGGGTGCAGGATCTCAAGGTAAGAAAGGTAAGGAGGATGATATGCAAGGCGGTAGCATCCTAGGTTCAATACTAGACTTTGCAGAAGCATTACAGAGGTTTCGAAGCTGTAAGCCACAGGGCCGCTGAACAGAAACACCAGGCACTTAGGCCACCATAGACCATAACGAGGCTCCAAATTTGCTGAATGTAATTGTCGGTTTATCTACGTCTAGGTCGCTAGCACTAGTCACGTAGAACAGCTATTCCGACGAGCTGACGAGCCTGATCAATATGGTATAGAATTCCTGATATTGATGACTGCCCCCCAAGAGTAAGGGGGACGGGGAGTAGCTAACTACATATATACGCGGCACGTACGTGCCGCGTTAGACTAACTGATATTCAGTGCCGAAACGCGCTAGGTTTGATATTCACGTTCCGACAGTAATAGTTTACTGTGCATAGACATAGATAGGGGTTACATAGGGGCATCCTGCATAGAATACACCGCCACCACCAACTATAATTACGGTTTTATATTGAATTGGTCTGGATTATGGCCCATAATGGTGGCAAACCTCCCGTTTTTGCAAGGCGGGGAGGGAAATCGAAAGCCCCATTGCGAGGCTCCAAATTCGCCGCATGTAAGGGATGATATGTAATGAGAGATACAGGGATTAGTTAACTATAGTGAGCTACCTGCATATCGCTTTGGCGAGTGGTCAGTGTATGAATTCAACGACATCAGCTATTTGCCAAGGTTTTACATGAGTGAAAAAGGTCTGCCGGTAAACCCTTAAACAACCAAGCCCTTAGGTGGCATCCACCGTACACTTCCTTGATTATATCATTTGATAACTGCACAATTTATCTAATAGGGCGTTCATAGTTTGGAAGTCTTAGAAGACCATTGGCGGAAGATTAGAGAGAGGAGGTCAGGATTACCCAGAAGCAGATCCGGAAACTTTGCGTCCTTCGTAATCAGGGAGTGGAGGATATCCAGAAACTTTGCATCCTTTGTAAATATAGATTTGTTTTGGGTGATCACAGCTACTGTTGCAGCAGCTAAAGTATTCTCGCCGCCGGTAATACTAAAAGCACCGTGAATGGCATCGAAAAAGTTTTTTGTACTTGTATCATCACACTGCAACTGATAATTGCAGTCTGAACGAAACTGTGCCACCGCGATTTCTTTGAGATGGTCGAGATCAAGCTCATTAGCAGCCGCATACAACGCGACATGGCGCAACAACGGATTTTCATAGTCTGCGATGATTAGTTTCCATTAAACACACCCCTGATTTATGACACGCACCTGGCTCAGATAGTGGACAAGCCTCCGTAGAGTAAGATTCGGTGTATATATACCGGATGACTCTCCATAATGCATGGACGTTAATAAGCTTATTTGAGGTGACGTCGAGCTGATGAGCCTGTTCTTTGTGAACCTTGTCTTGGAAGACAGCAGCAGACGTGGCTAGCTGTTCAGGCGCTTGTTTGGCATTTTGCTAAGAAAAAGAGATTAGAAAGATATCCTTTTAGTGCATCTAAGAACCATCTTGTTTGCGAACCCCATCGAGTTGCAGGGCCTGTCTAGCACGATGGCTCATTTCCCGGTAATAAGACATCCGCGACATGACGATGCTTGCCTCTCCTTTCCAAAGCAAAACAGGTTGTTTAGAGCGTTTATAATATAATTAATCTCAAGTATGAGTGAATGTCACTCTGATTGGCAAAAAGCGAGTACATGTATAAATAGTCAAAGTCAACCTTTTAGCAATACGTAATCGGCAAGCGAACTGTCATTTTTTCCCAGAAAATGCGCTCTATATTGAGTTTACATCTCAATTGCTAATCCACGCACAAATTATATACAAATTTTAAATTACTAGTAGATTAGGACATTCGGTTATTTTATGTCCTTCATCATCACAGCCACTGCAACGAAACTGATGTTGTATAGGTGGACAAAAGACTAGAAGCTCAGGCTCAGCCAGAGCAGTGGTAACAGCTTGAGATGCCTCAACCTGACCTTGTATAAGTACCTGAGCTTCTTCTCTAGTGATTCCTTGCTCATGAGATATTTGCTTCTTCGGTCTTTGGCGTTTTTATTTCTCTTTTTCATGTGCAGCTCGTAACCCATGACTTTTCCCTACGAGTAGATCAGTCATGGTCATTTCATAAGCTTTTGGCATCCTTATAATTGCTTCATTAATAGATATCATATGGAATTATTATATATGGAGTTAGCACACAAGTGGAAGCTCATAACAAAGTGGAAATCGAAGAAAAGATTCGTTGGAATGATCCATCATTTGAACAAGCAGACGTACTGTACTCCGGATGGCTGAAACGCAATCTTGGAGAGAAACGAGGCCCTACCATGGTTGTGAAGTTCGACCGAGAAGGAGACGCGGATTACGTGATCGAGAATGGTGTTTGGTGCACAGATTTTTAACTGCGAGTACTATGACTGGACCCGCAAGGCTAGGCAGTGCTTCAAATGCCAAAAATACGGACACATAGGGACACATTGCAAAGCCCGAGAGACATATGGATATTGTATAGGATAGCATAGCACCAAAATGTGTCCAGAAAGAGATAAACCTGGTTCATAGCTGGTATGTCCGAATTGCTCTAAGAATCATCCGTCATGGAGTATCCAATGCGGAGATCGGAAAGATAAATTGGCTAGAATTGAGAAAAGAAGGATGAATATGTCAAGAACACACAAGGAAGCTGCCCTTCGATGGGGGAATTCACGGGGAAACCCGAACAAACTAGGGAGGCACGCCGGGTAGCACAGGAGAATAGTCGTATTCTTAGCGCCCCGGGAAACCAGAAGAGAGGAAGATCACCTAGGAAGGTTACAAGGATAGATGGAAGCTAGGGAACAGGCAATGCTACAAGAAGAGTGCTCCAGGAACTAGACCGCAACGCACTCCCCATGCCCGGAACAAGCAAGAAACGGGCATTGCCAGCTACAACAGAAGACGGACTTACAACATCTCAGGATTGAAAGAATATGATCCTAAGGACACGCGATGACTAGTGATTCCGGGGCTAATTATAGTCTCAACCCCTGATTCGTAACTAGACGAGAGAAGAAGACAAGTAATACACAGAGATTCAACGCATCGAACCACCTCCTTATCAATACTTACACGCAACTGATCATTGATCACTATTACTGGATGACCAGGTTATGTTGGGTAATCTAGAGCTTTTGTTACAGTAAGGAATATGGCCCGAGCGGTGACTAATTGGTATGTTTCTTCTTCCTTTCTCTATTTCTTTCATATACATTTCCCCCTTGGTTTGATTGCCAAGTCTATACAGTAGTTTGCACCCTCAGAGTAACAACTAACACTCTCTTCTCTTTCTCCTGAAACGCCGCTAATAATGTACTAGTCTATATACGGCTAGATCCGGATTAACCCTGGCTCGTGTAATTTTCCCTACATGTATTATGCTTTCGCACGTTTGATACGCTCGTAAATTACATGTATCGCTGCCTAGACTTAGTACCTCGTACCTTGCCCTTTCTCAGTTCCTTCCTACACCAGTCACTACAACATAGTACAGCTTTGTACTACAGTATAGGATGGCCCCGCCCCTTGCACAATCAAAGATTCAGCTCATATGCGATATGCTTAGAAGCGATGAGCCTGTATCTCGGATTGCGCGTACTGTTGATTGTAGCCGCAAAGCGGTCTATCGAATTCGATCAAACCTTCAACGATTTGGAGATGCGAAAGCGCCGCCAAATCCCCCTAGACAACAGCAGATAATCACGCCAACAATGCTCAAAGCATTGTGTGATCATCTTCTGGAACATCCGACATTATATTTAAATGAGATGGCAGATTTTCTGTCAAAAAAATTTGACGAAGATATGGCAATTTGCACCATCAGCAGGGCTCTTGCCTCAATCGGTTGGTCTAAAAAGGTAGTACGACAGAAAGCAAAAGAGCGTAACAGGGCTTTGCGTGATGAGTATATCCATTATATTTCAGACTTCGGCGCGGGACAATTGGTGTTTGTGGACGAGTCAGGATGTGATAAACGTGTGGGACTCAGACGAACAGGTTGGTCACCTCTGGGTATGGCACCAATTCAAACATGCAAGTTTCATCGCGACCGTCGCTATCAGATTTTGCCTGCATATGCCCACGATGGTATCGTTCTTTCTCGTATCTTTCAGGGCTCAACAGACGCGACAATGTTTGAGGACTTTATTGAGCAGCTTCTTAAACATTGTGGAAAATGGCCGGAACCGAAATCCGTTCTAGTTATGGATAATGCATCCTTTCATCACTCGGACCGAATAAACGAGATGTGCTCCAGAGAAGGAGTGAAGCTGGTGTACCTACCACCGTACTCACCGGATCTTAATCCTATCGAAGAATTTTTTGCTGAGCTCAAGGCCTTCATAAGGAGAAATTGGCAAGTTTATGAGGAGAACCCTGATCAAGGTTTTGATCACTTTCTGCAATGGTGTGTTAAGATTGTTGGTGCGCGAGACCAGAGTGCCAAAGGCCATTTCCGACATGCAGGACTGGTAATAGAAGAATATGCATTGGAAAACGATGTCACAGTGCACACTCAACTCCACCAATAAAGCGCAGATCTCAGATCCTTGACAATCACTCTCCCTCCTTTTCATTGGATTAAGGCTGGGTGTATTACTGTACCATAACAGACAGCTTGAGCAGTACTCTTAATGCATATGAGCTGCACTTATTCCTGCTGCGCCACGTCATCGTCACAATGCGTTGGCTACCTGGTGGGGTATCCTCCATTGCACGATACTCATCTATTAATACTCCATGAGTCGAAAACATCTATGAAATAAAAATTTTTTGTCTTCTATAGTAAAATGCCTACGAAGAAAAAGAAGAAAGACCGAAAAAGAAACAAACCTGAACTTGACCTTGAACTTGACGATGATAACCATACACAAGAAACGCAGTCTATAACGAGTGACGATGACTCCGCAGAAATGCTAAACCTCCTTGCCAGGTATGAGTGGTTGTAGCAAATCCTACTTCTATTCGCGGGTTCAAATATGCTGATAATGGAGAGCTAGCTTGTACTTGAACCCACAATATAGTGATCTGACCATAATATGTGGCACTGAAGTCTTCCCAGTCCATCGGAACATCGTCTGTCCAAGATCTTCCTATTTCGCGCGATCCTGTGGTGGAAATTTCAAGGTTTGTACTGAGACTTCGACTTTTCGTGAACACCAGCTAATTACCGTGGCTTCTGCAGGAAGCATTGGGAACAATTGAACTCAAAGACCAAGATCCGAATCTTATTAGAAAAGTACTTCAGTTTCTTTATACCGGCGATTATACTTTTGAAATCGACGGAGATGAAGAGAAGGAAGATAATCTTGGACAGCCGTCTTCTCAAGACCACTCAAGAGGCTTCAATGCATGCCAATTCCACGTTCGGATGTATGCTCAAGCCGATTATTTTCAGATTGATGGTTTAAAAAGTAGGGCAGAAAGATACTTCCGAGGATCATTTTTAGACCAGCCCAGCAAGGATCCTTTCGAAGCAATTATCACAGAGATATACACGTCGATACCTGAATCTGATGAACAGATACGAGATGCCGCAATAGAATTGACGATGGACAACCTGGAGACTCTTCGAAATGGGACAGAGGTAATTTTACTTGATGGGTTTTTGAAACGGTCACCAGCGTTTGCGGCGGATCTTTGCATTGCAATGTTAAAAAGACGCAGTGAATCTCAGAAAGAAGAGATCTTTAGACCTGCTGCCTCTAAACCTCTCTTTACTCTCTATGGTGGCCATTAAACACAATTTCAGTGGAATAACTTGCTCATCCGTTCAGACATGAAATTTAATACTGTAGAACCCCATGTAAGCTAATCGCTTATCCTGGAATGGTCACGCCCTTGTGTCAGAGATGGGCTCGCGTCACAAGTTACAGTAACTTAATTAGTATTTGGGTTGTGTTCAAAAGGGCATCACTGGGTGTTTATCCCGCGGCGACATGATCCACTAAAATGAGGGGTAGAGGCAATGACAAGAGTTCATTCTTCAAGTCACATTACATACTACGTAGTATTGACGACCTGGTACATATCATTTTTATAAACTCACTCTTCCATTACATTATTCCAAATGTGCAGCTATCGGGTTCGCGTTCACAATTGCGGGCACTATTATAAGACCCTCAAGTCTTCATGTGGGCCCGCCAAACTTCGGAAAACCGCCTGTGATCCGGGAACTGGGGAGGACGCTTCCACCAGTGGCTCGCCCCACTGTGGAATCGCTGGATGTGACAAAAAGCCAAACCTCAAGCGTGAAGGACCAGGTGCTAGATCCCCAATGTGCCTGGTTATTATGTGCGTGTCTAACTTCATATAGGTGGCAGAACCAATGGGGGATTCGACAAGGATGATGTTGATTGGGAGGATTCTTGAAAAGTTCATTAAAGTATTATACACCATGGCCGTGGGACCGGCCGATTCAATTGCTGTATAGCATTGGGAAGGCTCAGACGCCTGTGGATATCCTCTTTCATGAGTTCATCAGCGATTGATTCCAAATGCTTCACATAAGGGCTTTTCTCCGCATGTTTCGTAATCTCTAATAGAAGCCTTCCATAAGCCCACACATCGCTCCATTGACGGATGTTGAAAGAGAGCTCAAATGGTGATAGAGTGTTCCGTATTTCCGGTGCACACCACGCGCGAGTTATACCGCCGACACCACTGATGTCAATAAGGATAGCATTTCCACTTGCATCCAATACAACATTCGAAGGTTTTACATCCAGATGGGTCTTCCCGGCCCTGTGAAAGCAATGTAGGGCCCTCGCGATTTGAAGAGGCCACTTCTGCCAAGAGTAATTCTCAAGGCAATTTTCGTCAAATACTTGCTGTAGTGAGCCACCACTATAAAGCTCTAGCAAAACCCCAACGACGACCTGTTGACTGTCTAATGTTGTTGACGTAGAGTACGGGTTGGTGTCTACCGCAATACCGACTGCCTGAGCGATATTGGAAACTCCTTGGAATTCCTTGAGGTTTTCCAGCTCTTGTCGTAAAACTTCCGTGTCACGAGGCTGGTAGAAAGGACGGTCTACCACCTTCAGTATCAATGGTGTTCTATCGTGAGTAACTCGAAAAACCCCATCAACTATTTCCTCTCGATCTGATAACTCCGTGGCGTTGATCCTGCGGAATGACGGGAAATCCTGGCAAGGAGGATAGTTGACTCTTGAAGGATCTTCACGGATCTCGCATTGTAGGTTTCTGGCGTACTTTGCAACAGTATTTGAAGGAGTATCTGCGTTATGGTTCAATTCGATGGCGACCGTAGCTTCCAGGCCCTCCCCAATGATTATTTCAGTAACAGTATCCTTGAGAAGAGAGACTGACTCGAAGTTTATTAGCCTGACAAAATCTTGAAATTCCTGTCGCCGTTTTCGCTTGGTAGATACTGGGGGCTCTTTCGTGTTGCGCGCGCTAGTAAATGTTCCTTTGACGGTTACTTTGATCCACCATTTATTGCCGTTGTGATGGAAAATCAAAGTCTGTGAGCGTCTATTCGGCTCCGGCTGCTGTTGTGAAAGAAAATCTTCATCTTCCTGATATGATTTGAACTCGAGGGATAGCTTCGCTGTCATGATTCAATTGAAAGCCAGTGAGATATGGAGGATCACTGTTTGAAGGGGCGCGTTTTGCGGGCTAGAAACTGGAAGCCACAAGGACATTGGCTCGGATAAACTAATTTTCCATAATCCCAAATGCCTCTATACTGAGGATGGATAATATTTTATCCGCAATCTAATATAAAATTTGGAGGTTGAATGCACATATTATTCCACCACTGAATGGAGTTCTAACACTTCCTCCTAGTCATCACGCATGCTCGTTAAATGTAGTTGGTACTTTACAGTACAGTACCGTATGACCAGTATATGAACAGACATATATGCAAACCCTAGGTTAGAAATGGCGCAAAAAGGAGGGGTATGTTTGAGGCGAAGTGCTTCATTCTATCTTACAGTACTACAAGGATCACTCAACATATTACGGTGCGCCAGAAATTTTTACGTTGCTTGTCATTACAGGAACCCACTCGACTAAAATTTCAATGAAACTAGCTGTAACCTTTACAGTACAAAGAGCTGCAGTACTGTACTCCAAACACTCTCTTCCTCATTTACCATCCAAAAGTAGCACCAATCTGGCCAATGTATTCTCCCCAAGTTGTTTTGCCAACTTTGACTTGTAGTCCTCTGTGCAAGCCATTTTTATTGATCTGTACCGTACCAGAAATGAACTTTCCATTCAAAGAAGGCATTATATCACCTCCAATACCAAGTCTCAATTGTTCTTGGACATTCATGCCATCTTTGACTTCTTTGACTTTCCAGTCTGCGAGGAAGTGCTTCCCGTCAGGACCGTCGACAACGTCTATCCATCCATGGCTCAGGGTAGAAATATCGACACCGGGGCCACCAATGATATACTGGCCAGATGGTATTTGGGATAGCATGCCATGGAAACGTTCACCCTCGTACTCAAAGGATATATCTCCCGGTTTCAGAGTCACAATGCTGTTCTCAAGTGTTCCCAAAAATGATTGATTTATTTTAATCTCTGTCCCTGTCGAAAAAGTGTATTTCGGGCCAGTCTTCACATCCAAAACCACAGTGGCAGGGATGAATTGGTCTGTCTTTCCGCCAGCCTCAGAGCGCCTTTTAAAGCGCGGATCAAAGCGCGAATCGAAGTGCGAATCATACTCCCACCCAAATCTGGATTTCCTTGTACTGTTTTGATAATAACTACCAATTCGTGAAGGTAAATCTGATTCAGGCTTGTAAAGATAATCGCCTGAGACCGAATTGAACCGTAAAGGAGTAGCTATCGGAGTCGATATCGGTGAAGCGGAGAAAGATGAGGACATAGGATTAGGCACCGATTCGCAATTAGGCTCTCCTAGAGGCTTGGAGATGTGGTTCCTCTCCTTTGAAAAAGAATAGAAAGCGGTGCCATCTTGATGGGAATCTTGGCCAGGTGGAACATAGTCCAAACTTCCAAACGGATCAAATCCGCCTACACGTATTCCAATCGACATGGCTGACGAAGAAGTGTATTTATTCAGGAGGGAAAAAAGATCGCCTCATAGATTGTTATCTCAATATATTTGAACTTGTGGAGCTGAAAACTGAAAGTGGGATATGATAGGTAAAGGCGGGGTAATGTGAAAGCGGGTCCTGGGTCAATGAATTGAAGCGTCACGTGCAATTATGGCCGTTTTGCATGGCTGCCCAGAGCCCGTAGGCGTAAATCCTGCTCGTTCTCAGGTCAATAACATGCGGCTAACGTGGGACCTAGGGGATGAACAAAAAGGTGGTGAAAGATGACGGTGGATTCAAATCTACCTGTATTGCAGTGGCTTACATGGAGCGTCTAAGGGAAGATGATAATCTATAAGCGGAGTTCTTTCATCACGATTAGAGCATGTCTTAAAGCTGTGGCTGATCATGCCACCACGCGAAGAGACCGAAGCTTACCAATCTGCACCCAGCAACGCTGAGATAAATTTATCGTCAGTACCATACCAAATCTCCCTAGTGGGCGAGTTTCGTTCCGTACGATATTCAGCTTCAGCTTATATGGCACGTTTCATCATTGTTCACTTTAATGATTTAAGTAAGAAAGGTAAAACACTGTGAATGCGTCGTACTGTAACAATCAAAATCAAAAAAGTGGCTCATAGTGGTTTAACCACTCGCGAACCTGCCCAGTCCATCGGATTGCCACTCCTTTCATTACACCTTCGTCAGCGTATTCATTCCAATTTCGATCTTTATCTATCTGGCTAAGATCGTATCCATTGGCTAATGCTATCTGGCACGCAAGATCGACGTTGTCTTTCATTTTTTGAGAAGCTACTTGTGTTTTATGCCATTCGGCATACCTCTTCACCGCCTCGTCGAGCGGAAGATCCGGAACCACAATAGGATCAACGACGTTGGAGTTTGAAGGTACAGCGAAATTCGAAATCGCCTTCCGCCTTAAACTCTCATCAATTGTTTTGCGGCCCCACTTCTAGGACGTTAGTGCCTCGGCATGCCCCACTGATGTATTGAACATACCAGCAATGTTTCATTCTAGAACATTCGATTATTTACAATTACGCCGGATTACATACAGCGTAGGTGCCCACCAAAATTCATTGGCAAACTCGCTTTCTCCCACATGCGATCTCGTAGATAAGCTGATCGAGTGTTCCAAATGGCTCCGAATCTGGCACTATCTTAGCATGAGCTCATTCGTGGCATGATCCTAAGCAAGTCATTGACTACCGCTCAAATGGCCGATGTAGCCGGGTGAAGTGAGCGCAGCATTCGATACATTGGTTCGAACCTGCGATGTTTCGGCAGTGTCAAGGCTCCTCCAAATAGTGCCGGCAGACCACGAACAGTGATCCCACTGATGTTGGAAGCGCTTCTTGACCATCTCCTTGAAAAACCAGATCTATATTTGGAGGAAATGGCGATTTTCCTGTAGAAGAAATATAGATACATGTACTGTTAATAGAGTTCGATATGACATTCGAGAGCCCCTGCCGCCGAAAACAGACATACTATATTAAGCATCATCTATGCGATATCTTGAACTACTTCCTTTGGCATCTGCGAGGCTACCAATCAAATCAAAAAGGTGACTGATATTGGGATGTAGTAAACTCTGTAATGCCAGTGGTACCGACAGTGATGGTGAAGGGATCCATGTCTTCTGGAATTGTACAGTAAAGTGATCAAACTCCATAAAACAGTAGAGTTTCGAATATGAGTACTACAGAAATCAGGCGGATCTATCATGTTCCATCTACGGAGGCGGGGCAATCTCTCTTCGTTCCACACGGATGTTTTGGCGTTTCCCACGACCAGGCGGCGACATTGGACAAACTCATTTGTGGAACGTGGAACGGCCCGGTCCTATCTCACGCCCACTATGTGTCGGAATATCTTTGTTCCAACTGAGGGGCGCAACTGAAGTTGGGGCTTGCCGCATTAAACCAGCCAATGGTAGCCCGAGACGCGATATCACACCCCATATGTCAGAGTGCTGGGACAAAACTGTAATTAGAATGCGATCGTACGTCCGGCTTAAAAGGGACATCCATGCCAACCAGAAAAAGCAGGCTCTAAATGTGATATACATGTGATTACCTTCCAAATCACCATCGGTCGTTATGGCTCCTGCTGAATATCAGAATACCTTCTCGAACTCGCTCAACTACGGACTACAAGTCGGCCATAACACTGGGAATATCGAGACCCACCATCACTACGCCGCTGGTAAGCCGCTGTTTTATCCGCCATGACGAGTAATGACAAGACCTCAGAGGGAAAAAAACATTAATAGAATATATGACTAGACAATCCTTTAACTCGCCTCATATACTCAAAAAACGCCCGATTCAACTCCAATTATCGACAGCACGCGCAGATCTGCCACGAGAATACCCGAACAGATCTCCTGCGAGACATATATAACTGGGTGGACGGGGAAGATGAGCGACACATTTTCTGGTTACAAGGATTAGCTGGTACCGGCAAATCAACTATCGCACAGACAGTAGCAAAGCATTACTATGACTTGAGTCCGAAGCGACTCGCAGCAAGCTTCTTCTTCGCACGGGGTGGAGGCGATGCAAGCCATGCAGGCCTCTTTGCCACAAGCATCGCCGTTCAATTAGCAAATGATGTACCACAGCTTCACGACGCAGTTTGTATGGCGATCACAAAATGCAGCGACATCGCATCCCGGTCTCTAAGTGATCAGTGGCGTCGGCTCGTTCTTCAGCCCTTCTCAAGCCTCGAGACGAACAGTCCATCTTCATACCTCATCGTTATTGATGCTCTAGATGAATGCAATGGCAAAAATGACATTCAAACCATTTTTCAGCTCTTGTCGGAAGCTCGACAACTCATACCCTTGCGATTGCGTTTCTTTCTTACCAGTCGACCCGATACAGTGATTCGCCGGGGCTTTCAAGAGGTGCCGACGGTTGATCGTCGAGATGTCATTCTTCACCAAATAGAACGTGCTCTAGTCAATCACGACATCGCTCTTTATTGCAACCATGAGCTTGCTCTTATTCGGCAAGAACAGTATCTGGAGCCAGACTGGCCTATTCTAGAGGAAATTCAACGTCTTGTTAATAAGTCGAGCGGCCTCTTCATCTGGGCTGCCACGGCATGTCGATACATCCGCCAGGGACGAAATAATGCTGAAGAACGGTTATCCATGGTTCTAAATACGCAGATACATGATTCCGGGCCAGAAAAAGAACTTGACGCGATTTACACAATGGTTCTCATTAATTCTGTTCCTGGGAATTTCAGTAATGAAGAGAAGGAAAAGTTATATGCTCGGTTGGTTCATTTACTGGGCAGCGTTGTGATTTTATTCGCCCCGCTTTCCATTCATGCTTTAAATACCCTATTGGACATCTCCGTCAACGAGATCAAAAGAACGATTATTGATCTCCATTCGATACTTCATGTTCCACTAGAAGAACACAATGACCTTCGATTACATCATCCCTCGTTCCGAGACTACCTAGTCAACCCCACTAGATGCGGCCTGAAAAGTCTCCAAGTCAGCGAGGAAGGTGCGCATAGGAGGTTGTTGTTTGATTGCTTGGATCTCATGTCAGCAACTTTGAAGGAAAATATATGCGACCTAGATTATTCTAACCCTGGTATCCTGCGAGCGGAGGTAGAAGAGAGACATGTCCAGCAATCTATTCATCCTGCGCTGCGTTATGCATGTCTCTACTGGGTGCAACATCTCCAAAGAAGCAGTCAAATGATATATGATAAGGATCAAGTCGATAATTTTATGAGACAACATCTCCTAGCTTGGCTAGAAGCCCTGAGCTGGATGGGAAGAGCTGCAGAAAGTATACAAGTGGTGACTTGCCTACAGTCTATTGCATCTGTAAGAAAGCCTGACATATTTATCAAACGTTAACTAAGTTTACTACAGTCAAATACCTGCCCCTTATTTTGTCAATATATTCAGGATGTCAGACGCTTCATCTCCTATACTTATCCTATCGTGGAACGTGCACCGCTCCAATTATACCTCAGCGCATTGATATTCACACCAGAAAGTAGCCACATCCGCAGTCATTTTCAACGAAGAGTCTTCCGGTGGATGAAAAAGTTGCCAGTTACAGAGAAGAACTGGAGTTCTCTACTTCAGACACTTGAGAGCCATGCTGGCCGGGTGAACGCGATCGCCTTCTCTCCAGATGGGACCATGCTAGCGTCAGCATCATTTGACTGTACAGTCCAGCTCTGGGATACAGCTACAGGGAGTGCGCGCCAGACACTTGAGGGACATACTGACAGGGTGACCGCGATCGCCTTCTCTCTAGATGGGACCATGCTAGCGTCAGCATCCGGTGACCGTACAGTCCGGCTGTGGGATACAGCCACAGGGAATGCGCGCAAGACACTTGAGGGCCATACTGACTGGGTGAGAGCGATCGCCTTCTCTCCAGATGGGACTATGCTAGCGTCAGCATCTGATGACTGTACAGTCCGGCTGTGGGATACAGCCACAGGGAATGCGCGCAAGACACTTGAGGGCCATACTGACGAAGCGAGAGCAATCGCCTTCTCTCCAGATGGGACCATGCTAGCGTCAGCATCCGAGGACCATACAGTCCGGCTGTGGGATACAGCCACAGGGAATGCGCGCAAGACACTTAAGGGCCATACTGACTGGGTGAGAGCGATCGCCTTCTCTCCAGATGGGACCATGCTAGCGTCAGCATCATATGACTGTACAGTCCGGCTCTGGGATACAGCTACAGGGAATGCGCGCCAGACACTTAAGGGCCATACTGACTGGGTGAGAGCGATCGCCTTCTCTCCAGATGGGACCATGCTAGCGTCAGCATCCGGTGACCGTACAGTCCGGCTGTGGGATACAGCCACAGGGAATGCGCGCAAGACACTTGAGGGCCATACTGACGAAGTGAGAGCGATTGCTTTCTCTCCAGATGGGACCGTGCTAGCATCAGCATCTGATGACTGTACAGTCCGGCTCTGGGATACAGCTACAGGGAATGCGCGCCAGACACTTAAGGGCCATACTGACAGGGTGAAAGTGATCGCCTTCTCTCCAGATGGGATCATGCTAGCGTCAGCATCCTATGACTGTACAATCCGGCTCTGGGATACAGCCACAGAGAATACACGGCAGACGCTTGAGGGCCATACTGACAGGGTGAAAGCAATGGCCTTCTCTCCAGATGGGACCGTGCTAGCATCAGCATCTGATGACTGTACAGTCCGGCTGTGGGATACAGCCACAGGGAATGCGCGCAAGACACTTGAGGGCCATACTGACGAATTGAGAGCAATCGCCTTCTCTCCAGATGGGACCATGCTAGCATCAGCATCCGGTGACCGTACAGTCCGGCTCTGGGATACAGCTACAGGGAATGCGCGCCAGACACTTAAGGGCCATACTAACTCAGTGAATGCGATCGCATTCTCTCTAGATGGGACTATGCTAGCGTCAGCATCCTATGACTGTACAATCCGGCTCTGGAATACAGTCACAGGCGTGTACCAGACACTAGAGGGCCATACTCACTCAGTGACGGCAATCGCCTTCTCTCCAGATGGGACCGTGCTTATTACGGATAAAGGTAGAATACACATCAACTCTCACGACGTAACTAGTCATTCCCAACCACAACATGTGGTTCCTGCTCCTAAGGTGGTGATTGAGAACCAATGGATTGCCTGTAATGGATACAATATTCTCTGGCTTCCACCAGAATACAGATCCAATGTGTCTGCTGTCTATGCGACTAAGGTTGCCATCGGGTGTTCTTTGGGCCAAGTTCTTCTCTTTGAACTAGATATTTTCTGAACTCTTCAGTGTGTTGTTTGACCCCTGTACTGTACATAAAGCATTACACAGAGTGCTTGAATTGTCACGGTTTGCTCTCGCTGTCCCTGACGTTCGCTCTTGGCCAGCTGGCTTAGCTTCCAAGCGCTTCCGGGAATAAGCAGTTCCTTGATGCGTTGTTTCCGTGCTTTACTATTTTTCTGTTGTTCTATTGTTCCATTGTTCTATTGTCCTCTTCTTTGCTTATTCAGACTGATCATATTGCTTTGTACCAAGATCACCGCGATGCGAGGTCCTCGACGGCAGAATGAAGCTTATAAGGAGCTCATCCTGCCCCGCAGTTCATTGCGGAAATCAGCAGTCCTCTTGTTTCCTATCCTTATGTCTAGTCTTTAGTTACTTTACAGAATTTATATCGTTCCTAAGTCAGATCCTTACATGAATAAAATAAATCAATTGATGTCGCAATTAGGCAGCTACTACGAGTCATCATCGTCACACATAGGACTATTAATATTTTCAAATTTCTTTACATAATAAAGGAAGATTATGAGATAGATGGTGCTTATATAGTATGTTTGTTACATAACTCTATTGGTAATGTGATGGTGTATTGGAACGACAATACGACGTCACGCCAAGCCTGTCAACAATTCCACTACTCGTTCTCTCAATGTAATGGCTATCCCAAGAGAAGTTGGATTATTACTAGAGAGTCTTGGCAGTGGGGCTTAGAAAGAGAGAAGTGTGTTGCAGGCGGAAGGCGATTTCGAATGTGTGTGTAACACCGAGGGCGGAGAACCAGCTGGAGTAGCCACTATGGACGGCTGAGGAGAGGGTGTTGAAAGAACATTGATGTTGATCGGTAAGTATGGAGCTTCAATCAATGAGTTTCCCTTAGGCCTCTTTTTTCGCTCAAGAGATAATCGCTCTTCTGCATAAAGCTGTTCCCGGATCATCTCTGGAACGTCATCATGGGTTTCGAGGAAAAGGCGTTTTTTCTTTACCATATCCACAAGATGTGTCAAATGATGCGTATTGAGCCTGTAATGTTTTTTACCAACGGGATCCTGCCAACAGTATCCCTCTGAATTTTTGCATGGTGGTCCAGGACACTTCATCTTATCATAGACATCCCGCCAAGGTGAAGACTGGCCAGAACTCTGTTCAGCATCAATCCGGGCTTCGCGTTCAGCCAGCATAGCATTTGTCACCGATCGTGTGTTCCTTTTCTCGCCATTCCTTGTTGAAGACTGTTCGTTGTCGTCTGCTACGTAATTAACGCAGACATCTAGTCTTAGCTTCTTGCCCCTGCGAAATAGCTCTTTCCACTCGAGGAGTTGCTTTCCCGTCATTCCCCAATCGATATCAATTCCCTCAGCTTGTTGGTGAAGTTTTTGTGAACGATCGTTCAACACGGAAGCCACGACCGTAGTTTCCTCCAACCGAGCGCGTCGGTCGCTAAATACTTTTCGGCTTTTCACGCGTTCAACCTTCTCTCTCAAAACTTTTTGCCAGTATGCACCAGGTGCAAGGACCACATCTGGTTCCGTGACTTTTGTAATTGTTCGGTTGTTCAGTTTAACCTTCCAGTCAATGAGATAATGGAGATAGATTGGCGGATGCTCATCGTAAGTTTTATCCTTCTCCCACAACGTTGGAGGGACGAAACATAATTGATCAGATTGTGGTTCTCGCTGGGAAGGATACTCAAGGAATGTGGTGGGCTGGGGACTATGTATCGGTGGCGACGAAGCTGTGCTGAAATTACCGGGGGTGGGGGCATATAGAAGGTCGTTATCCCATGAATCGTAAGGCTGAGGCGATATATTATCGTCTTGACGGAAACTGTAACTCATAGCCACAGAATGATACGTGGTGCTAGCGAACCTAATATTAGTGATGCGTTAGTTTCGGAGCCACATCATTGCATGGGGCGGCAGCTGACAGGCTGAAAAGAATAACTAGCAGCTGCATGAATAGTCTATTCCGCCACAACCAGTGCTCCAGAGCACTAGCCGTTTTACGTATGATAGGAAACCTGTTGCAAAGGTCAACGGTTCTGTATCTTGTGATGGCAATAGAATATGAGATAATTCCCAACGACAGATTGCCAGGTTACTCGAACCAGATGGACATGTGTCCAGACAGAGTCGAATATTCCAGAACTGTATTTTATCGCCATACATGTATTGTAAATAAAAGTTGGTATCGAGATGTACAGCATTATTTCCGCATTAACATTATTCCTACACTATTCTATATTTATAATAGCGTCTTCTTGGCACTGTTTCAGATGAAAGAGAAGAGTGTGTTAGTTGTTACTCTGAGGGTGCAAAGTACTGTATAGAAAATGGACATCTCAGGCATGAATGATCTAGATTATGCTACATATCAACATCATCTTGCAACAACCCCCCAAAATGTCTCCATACGTTCAAGTGAGCACTTGTTATCTTGGAAAACTTTAATACTGTTAGCATCTTCATAGCCGCTGCTTGAAGAGCATAGAGAATATCGGCATAGGCCTAGGAGATCGCGACCACAAGAAAAGAGACGTCCTATACCAACCTCTGCTGCAGGGATAGAGTGATATCGACGAGCAATCTTAGCCTGTAACAAGGTTACGTGGGATACTGTTGGTTTACCTTCATTAGATCTTGCGATCTAATGAGGACAACAAATCCAACAAGCTGACTGAGCCAGTAATACTGAATTCCTAATATTGCGACTAATCCTAAGAACTAGGGACTGAGAAACAGTCGAAGAGAGTAAGATCCCGACACCAGTTTTGCCTCCGAGTGTACTAGTACAGTATCAAGAAAATAATAAGTGCTTTTAAAAGTTAACAAGCCAGCATAAAGATTATGTATAGAATGGTATCTTAAAATACCAGTCTAATCGTATTAGGAGCCTTAAATTTAGGTTGCGCAAAATAAATAAGAGTGTGTGTAAAACACGGAGGTCTCCATCTGTTCACCCGCGGTCTTAATGGCACAAACGATACAACACAATCCTGGTCATCCCAAACTCTTTCAAGAGAGGAGGTAGAAAACAGGAATAGGTGTACTAGTAGTGCTGGCATTCGTAAATATTGATGACTAAACCATGCGAGGTTCCGCACAGGCCCCTATAGGGGATTTTTTAGATGCTGTTTTGGTATGCAAGATTGACTGGCCTTTACTTGAAAAGCAACAATATAATAGATACTGTAATCATGTATAGTACACACTAAGGACTGATTGAGTACACACACATAGGTGGGAATCTCCACCTCAGTGCTTTAGTATAGTGGTTGTAAGTTAGGATAACTCCCTCCTAAAGCCTGTGTGATTAGATTTATGCTGGAGTCTGTTAGTCCTCGATTTAAGATAGTATCATGTTACTTACAAAGTATCAATGGCGACTTTTATGTTTGGCCCGTCTTCGGGGATACATAAAGTGACCAATTCCCGTACTAATTTCTCAACATCAGCCACATCTTTTTCGATTTTTTCGATTTTTTCAAAGTGTTCCTTATTTTTGTCTTGTTCATGCTTCAACTGCTAAACCAGCTCCTGATTTTTCTTTAGTTCGTTCTTGCAGTATAAAACTAACTTTCTGATCCCAGGGTCAGTTATTTTTGGGCCTTGCATTGAACACAGATTTACCCTACATCCACAGGACTAGATAACAAGCGCTTTAAATAGTCCCGGATTAGGGTTGATGATTTCCATGTACACAATACAATTGCTATAAATAAACTTTGAGCAGGTCTAGATTCTTACGTGATTATCCTGACTTTTGCTGTGAGCAGAAAAATAACTACAGAAGCCGTACAGGAGCTATAACTCCAACTTAAGCTAGTTTACATGAGGTAATGTATTCCTAACAAATACTTGTGTTCGTGTTAGTTGATATTTGACAGACCTGAGGCCCCCGAGTAGGCCCCTAAGCAGGCTCTTAGATCTTCCACTTACCCCGGAATATCACCTCGCTCCATGTGATCGCGCCTGCTAGCTATTTACCACTGTCCTAGATCATTTAATGAAATATTGATGAGGCTTTTCGAGATAAATGTGAGTATCTGGGGTAATATAAGAACTGAAAAAAATTTCTCTTTTCCAACTTTCATATGCGTGTATTTTATCTTTTTGTTTTAGCTCAGTGGTATTGCGGCACTAGCCACATATATACATACCATGTGCGCCTATAGGAGGCTCTATTGGTGACCTTACTCAGTCAATGTATGTACAGACAGATGCGAAACCTCCTTCACATGTTTTACACACACTCTCTTCTTTTTGCCCCACATCCCAAGTCTAGCCCCTGATACTAGTCCAAGCCAGTATTTTATATGTAAATGTAATACTCATCTTTTATATATCTCTGATCTTGAATATATATAATCTTTAAGTAAATTATGTATGAAACTGGTATTGAAAAGTACTAGTCTGAATGAATCGTGGACTACTTCTAGGCAACAGCCTTAGATGTGGGGCAAAAAGAAGAGAGAGTGTGTAAAACATGTGAAGGAGGTTTCGCATCTGTCTGTACACACACACACACACACATTCATGTTGACAGCTTCTTCTTTCTCTATCCATGCTTAGTCTTCTTGTTCATAGCTTCCAATATAATATTGCTTCGGCCTTCAACGCACTTCTAGGAAGCATGTATACCTAAAGCTTATATGATAGGCTAAATCGGAAGTCAATAGCTAGATATAGGCATATCCAATTGATATAGTGTTTGCATATTTCGAAAGATCATAATTGTGGCGATGAGCAAGTAACACGAATGGCATTGTACGATGATATTAAGTATGAGGAGGGAAACAAACGGCAGGCTATGTGCTCGCTCAATCAGACAACGTTCATAACCCTACATTTGTGAAGGCTCAATCAAATGTCATTCAGAAGCTAATACGAGAAATCTAAGCATAGGGAAGAAAAGGAAAGAGTGTAAACATGAAGCTATCCCTGGTCCCAGATAGCAGTGGCGCGCTCACGTGCCCCAGGTAGCCCCTTCTCGCCCAACCCTAATCACGTGATCTCTGTCCGGACCTCTAAGTCAGCAAATCTCACCATCTTCTGTATAGCCTCAACACCAGCCGTCACAACATTCACCTATCAGCTACGCTGCCACAACAATATAGATCTTGATCTATAATCAAAATCATGTTAGAGTTAGTTTCTTGTCCTAAGAATGGTCCTGAAACGTACCCTTTTTTCAATGTCTTCCCTGCACACGGGGCAGGTGTTGTTTATTTCACTCCACTTATCAGCACACTGTTCACACATCATAGCATGACAACAAGGCAGGTACAGTTGAGATATTTCTTGACCACAATCTGTCACACAGCTGGCCCTGCTGCGCAAGATTTCTGTATTCTGTGGAGGAGCAATGGCTCTGGCACGCTGACTTTGGCCAGTGGTGTGACACTCTGATGGCTCTCTATACATATGGCGATGCCGTAATGAGGTGATATCATTATTGTATGTCCTAGCCGAGTTTATTTCATAGGAGTGTTCATTGCTATACCGACGTCTAGCGTACCGACGTGGTTCCCTATTGCTATCGTACGATCTTGCCAATCGTCTTTGAGAGAATGTTGGATTTCTCGGCGAAACCCATTCATCTTGATCCAGTCTTGTTGATTGTTGGTATACATCATCGTAGAGCCACGTCTCCCCTGGTCGCCTAGTTGTGCTCATATTGCTACCAAGAGCCCTGCCTGAGATCCTATCTGGGAGAAATGGCTGAACGATGGAGGAAATAATCCTCGACATAGCCTCTGAGTTTGATGAGTCTGAATGTTTTGGTTTAGGATTCGTGTCGTAGTGCCCAAGCTGATATTCTCATGATTTTCCATCAAAAATAATTGTAAATGTAATTTTTATCTGGCGAGCGGAGAGAAACAGACCGTCTATTATATATATTATGTTATATTTTTTGAACGAGTTGGAAGCTGATACAGTAACAAAACAGCGACCTATGCGGTTGCCTTTACGCTTGGTGCAGCAAGAAGCAAATTACGAAGCGAAGAATACCATCAATTTCCGGGCCTTTGGTGACCATCTTTAAAAGGAAGTGCTTTTGCAACCTGGTACGTAATTGGACTTCCTGTCATACAATCTTACTATTGAAGTCACAGTATTAGTCAACGTAGATTCAGACAATGACGGGAATAACATGTCCGGCTACTCCATAACACTAGGAAGAAGGACTGACTAAATTCATACAGGGGAATTAGAAGCGATAGCAGCAGCGCTGGAACATATCACAAGTGGGATATGCAGCAGATGGATATCTATCCTGAGCAGTAATAAATCCGCACTGATAGCAAGTAGTCAACCCCGACATTAGTCCAACCAAAGTATTCCAGTGAATATACAAACAAGTCCAGGCACTACAACAACAAGGTAATCAGTCAATACAATCTGGACCCCAGCGCAAGCAGACATGAGCGCGACACTACGCGCAAAGACTGAAGCACGGAAATCAACGTGAATAGGGCGCCTTCTAGAAAAGTGACCGTTTCAAGTTAAATCAACTGCCATTAGACTCGCCACTGTTGAACAGCACCAGGATTGGACTGTACCAGAGAATTTCGAAAAGTACTTAAGAGCCATTGACACAGCACTTCCGGAAAACACACAAGAAGCTTATATGATGGACTAAACCCGAAAAAGGCGTGGAATCTAGCCCAACTTCAGACAGGAATACACACACACACACACACAATATATTAACGCCCGGCGGCCAAGCCGAAAGGGCAACTATCACTAATCTACTAATACATGTCCTAATATATATGTCGTATCTCCTTGGAGCCCATACATAATCACTTTTAATATATGCCGTCTCATCTGTCAGTATTGTAGCGGATGCTCGTGGGTTAGTAATTTTGTTAGTAGCTGGCTTGAAGGCGCTTCTTCAAGTGTTCAACATCCTATCTTCGGCAGTTGAAGCGCGTCTACTGTGTCTGTCACGAGATGGTTAGTGTAAATAAGATTAGGAAGGGTGATTGGTTTGTGTTCGTCTACATGGTTAAGTGGCGTCGAGTCGGCCTATAGCAATTGCAAACCATATTGTGGCCTATACTACTTCAAAGTTTGAGGTCTAGTTCTAATTATCTGAAGGTAATTTTCCTCCTAGGAAGAAAAATATATTGCCTCGGTGGGTGTTGGTATATTGCAGTATTTCTATCCAGTATGCCGTCCACTTCTGACATTAAAAGAGGAAGTGCTCGATAGTTTCTCTTACTTGTCCACATGCATACTGATTAGTCTGCGCTATATTAATTCAATAAAGATATCTATTCAATCTTACTATGCCAGTCCAGAGTTGAGCCAGCACACTTGCTTCTTTCTATGATAATTAATCATACAGCTGTCGGGTGTGTTTGCCCAGGAGCGCCGCGTCTACTCTTTTAACATGTTTGCCCACTTTCTCGGGTAAGCCTTTGCTGATAATGTTTTGGGATTGTGCGATATTGAGAGTTGTTAATTTTATTTGGGGAACCTGTGCTTGTGGGATAGCGTCCTCTCTAGTTGCTATCCTAGCCTGCTCTTTAGCTAGGCTTAATAGCTTGTCATCCTTACTGGTTGGGACCCAGCGGATAATGATCTGGTTTCTATTTCTTCGTAGCCTTTTAATCAACTTGTATATTTGGTAGACGTGTTCCTGACCTGACTGTTGTCGAGGGTTCCTCAATGTGAGTGCAGCAGCTTTGTTGCTCGTCAGGAGCGTGATTCTGTACTACTTTAATGTTGGTAGCGTGCTCAATGCGTGTGCCATTGCTGCTAGCTCCCCCAAGTATGGGTTCTGCTCTAGTCTTACGCCCAGTGTAAAGAAGAAGGTCTTTAGTTTCAGCTTTTTATACTGGGGTGATTTCCTCTGGATTGCTCCACCGAATCCTACCACCTTGTTCTATGCTAAGCTACTTACTACGATCTGCATTAATCTGCCCGCTACAGTGTGCGTTTCTGGGGTTTCACTAATATTGGTCTGTACGCGCTCCTCCCATAGTGCTAGTGTGATAGGTATGATTTCTACGTGTCCATTTCAATATCTCAGCGTATCTGCCACCTAATATAGCGTGAGCGGTAAATCTTCTAAATTTCCTAATCTAATCAGTGCATCTGCGAAGGGGGTTAATTTCTGGTAGGGTGTGGATGTCCATCTATATCTTCACAGCCTATCTCCAAAACTGGCTTTGTGCAGGGGCGATGTGAGCCTCCGCCTCTACCACACTAGTTGCGATGGTGAGGAATGTTCCCATAATCGCTTGCGCTTTTACCCTTTGGACATAGTTAATTGGACTAATGGCCTTGTCTTTAAACGCGTGCATCTAGACATTAGAGGCGTAGTCCATGGCTGTGATAATAGTTGATGTAAATAGTTGTCGCGCTATTAATGGGGATAAACCCCTGAGCCATCTGAGCTCCATTGCTACTTCTAGGCCCTTAGATGTGGTCCTTGCGATGTGTTCCTTGTATTTAAGTCTAGTGTCTATTATTATACCAAGAATCTTAATATAGTCTTTGGGTTTAATGGCTTGTCCCTTGATGGTAAAACGCTCCTGTTCCAACTTATGTGCTTTGGGGGTAAAGTATATAATAGCTGTTTTATCAGCTTCAAAGGTCGCTCCACTCCTTCTTTCCTAGTTGAGTGCGTCAGTGATGATCGCTTCAATCCCTTCCTGGTTACTCCACGCAGTAGGCCCAGTCACCCATGCGGTAAAGTCATCCATGAAAGTAATCACTCTGCCCTAGCTGTCGATCTGTCGTTGTACGAGGTCTGCATTAAAGAAGAGAAATAAGATTAGGGATAGAGGAGAGCCTTGAGGTAGTCCCGCCTATAGGAGGCTGTGAACTTCAGACTCCTAGCCATTAATCTGGATGGTCGCCGTTCGTGCTGAACAGAACGCGTCGATCCACTGGAGCAGCTATTCTGGTATGCCTCGCGCTTTCATTCTCTAGAGTAGTCTTTCTTTATAGACCCCATTGTAGGCTCCTTTAACATTAAAGCTAATCAAGCTAATAACTCGATGGCCACGCCAGGCTATGTAGATTTGCTCCTGCAGGAGTAGGAGTGCCTGTTCCACTGATCACTGTTTTTAAGCCTCAAAGTGGCTCGTGGGGAGCAGGCTGTATGTCTCCACTGCGTGGGAGATCCTTTCTATAACCACGGATTCGAGTACCTTGCCAAGTGTCGCTAGAAGTGAGATCAGTCTCCAGGCTTTTACAATCGTGTAGTCCTTCTTATTCGGCTTTTTGAGTGGTATAATCTTTGCATGTCTCTACTGACTTGGTAATATGCCCTCTTCTAGGGACATGGAGAATAGGTTAAGGACCCTATGTTTGACTGTGGGCCAAGTCATCTTCTAAACTATTGCTAGCAGGCTATCTTCTCCCGGTGTCTTCCATAATTTTGCTGCGAATAGCTGTCGCTCTACTTCCTCTAGAGTGATAGTAGGTATCTCTATTAGTGCTCTCTGTGGTCTAGATCCTTCATCATTAATATTATCTAGCAGCGGGGAAAAGAATTTGGCTAATAATTCTTCTGCTTGTTCCTCATGATCAGTAGTGGTGGTTCCATCTATTCTCTTAAGCTGTAGTACCTTTCTAAACGCTGTATCCTCTTCAGACTTTAGGTATTTGGCGGCCTTCTATATATTATTATTGTCTGTAAGGAATTTCTTCTAGTGCTTTTTCTTTCGTTGCTGGATAGCATCATGATATTGCTTGGACGCACTTTTAGCCGTCTCTTCCAGGTGTATAACATCCCGTCCTGCCCGTCGCTCCAAGCGGGTGTGATTCCTCTAGTATGTATATATATAACAGAGCTGTGTCAAGTCTAATGTCCACCATCACTTTGCGTATGGCGACAGCTTGGCCTTAGGAGTCAAGATGTGAACTGCTTCCAAGACCACTGACATTAGTCTGTTGGTTCTCTATTGCAATGTGCCTTCTGCCAGAGTGCTGTCTAGGTTTTGTGCGATTCTAGCGTTGATTTCCTTCCATGGTGCGTTTTTCAGTAGAAGTCACTCCCGATGGTTCATATCTGGTCTCGGGACATCAAACACAGTTTCAATTGCGCGGTGATCCGAGCTATGCTCTGTCCCATGTATTGCACACTTGACTATAGAATCTATCAGATTCTCGGAGGCGAGGATAAGGTCAATGGTGGACTTGTAGTCTCCGCCCTGTCCTCTACCCTGCCATGTCTTTGTGCCTCGTTTCAGTAGACTGGTGAGAGTAAATTCATTCATAAAATTAATGATTAGATCTGCTTCCCCCTGCCTATCTAAAGACACGTCATCTCCTCCCTACAGTTGATCATGTCGATTAAAGTCTCCCACAATCATTACCTCCATCACCGTGCCTGTGTTTTGCCTTACCTTTGTGATTGCCTTGCGTAGGTGGTTGCACGTGTCGCGCAAAGCCTGGGCATCTCCATGCTCTACGTAGACTGATGCCATAAAAATTAAACGCTCGGGAAGCCGAATGACCGCTGCTGTCAGATCCAGAGATTCTATCAGCACTTGTTCCGCCTCTACATCCTTATTAATCCAGAGCATGCTTCGAATTGCCCACCGGCCTTCTCTCCATGCGGAAGGGACCATCTTCATTCATTTGTGGTGTCCTATTGGGGTAGTCAAGAGTCGGCCTTGAACCATCCTTGCTTAGGGTTCTTAAATCGCTAATGTCACTGCATCCTGAATTTCTTTGTTGTTTATCAAACTATCATATACTGCGCCCTGTTTCCTTATATTTAGCTAGATTATTTGGAGTGTTCTATTTATGTTGTATAGGATAGAGCTTCTGACAGTTTTTACTATACAATTTATATGGGCCTCCACATGGAACACACTTCAGGATTATTTCATTGCAATTACTGTGGTGGTGGTCTTCCTTAACACATTTCGCGCACCTCTGGGCGTTCTTGCATTGGAATGCCTTATGGCTAATCTCTTGGCAATTGTAGCATTGTGCTAGTTATGGTCGATATTTAAAGATGCTGGTTACGCTGGATTCTCCCCCAGCGTGGAAGAACCCATCAGCTAGAAGCCTCCGTGCATCAGTGCCTTTGGTTAGGTATACTACTATAGAGCTATAGGCCTTCGCACTCTCCTTACTGCTGAGCCATGCGATCTTAGCAACCATGGTGTCATTCTCCTCGCTGAAGGCTGCTGTGGCTCCGGCTCTAATCTCATCTTTTTCATCTAGGACTACTGCCTTCCTGACACTGTCAACTTTGATTAGGTAAAGCTTATCACGCAGCACTTGGGCTCCTACGCCAATCTTTGCTTCTGTAACTTTCTTAACTAGTTGATGTTCAGCTTCATCTCAGCAAGCAATTCTAATCTGGTAGGCGTTCTTTGAATCCATGGTCATAGCGCGGCACGGTGATGGAGGTAATGATTGTGGGAGACTTTAATCGACATGATCAACTGTGGGGAGGAGATGACGTGTCTTTAGATAGGCAGGGGGAAGCAGATCCAATCATTGATTTTATGAATGAATTTGCTCTCACCAGTCTACTGAAACGAGGCACAAAGACATGGCAGGGTAGAGGACAGGGCGGAGACTACAAGTCCACCATTGACCTTGTCCTCGCCTCCGAGAATCTGATAGATTCTATGGTTAAGTGTGCAATACACGGGACAGAGCATGGCTCGGATCACCGCGCAATTGAAACTGTGTTTGATGTCCTAAGACTAGATATAAATTATTAGGAGCGACTTCTACTGAAAAACGCACTATGGAAGGAAATTAACACTAGAATCGCACAAAACCTAGACAGCACTCTGGCGGAAGGCACATTGCAATAGAGAACCAACAGACTAATGTCAGTAGTCTTGGAAGTAATTCACACCTTAACTTCTAAGGCCAAGCCGTCGCTATATGCAAAGCGATAGTGGACATCAGACTTGACACAGCTCTGTTATATATATACATACTGGAGGAATCACACCTGCTCGGAGCAACGGGTAGGACGGGATGTTACACACCTGGAAGAGACGGCTAAAAGTGCGTCCAAGCAATATCATGATGCTATCCAGCAATAAAAAGAAAAGCACTAAAGGAATTCCTTGTAGATACAATATATATAGAAGGCCGCCAAGTACCTAAAGTCTGAGAGGATACAGCATTTGGGAAGATACTATAGCTTAAGAGAACAGATGGAACCACCACTACCAACCATAAGGAACAAGCAGAAGAATTATTAGCTAAATTCTTTCCCCCGCTGCTAGATGATATTGATGATGAAGGATCTAGACCACAGAGAGCACTAATAGAGATGCCTGCTATCACTCTGGAGGAAGTAGAGCAACAGCTATTTGTAGCAAAATCATGGAAGGCACTAGGAGAAGATAGCCTGCCAGCAATAGTTTGGAAGATGACTTGGCCCATGGTTAAACATAGGGTCCTTAACCTATTCTCCATGTCCCTAGAAGAGGGCATATTACCAAGTCAGTGGAGACATGCAAAGATCATACTACTCAAAAAGCCAAATAAGGAGGACTACACGATTGTAAAAGCCTAGAGACTAATCTTACTTCTAGCGACACTTGGCAAGGTACTCGAATCCATGGTTATAGAAAGGATCTCCCATGTAGTGGAGATATATGGTCTGCTCCCCACGAGCCACTTTGGGGCTCAAAAACAGCGATCAGCAGAACAGGCACTCCTGCTCCTATAGGAGCAAATCTACACAGCCTGGCGTGGCCGTCAAGTTGTTAGCTTGATCAGCTTTGATGTCAAAGGAGCCTACAATAGGGTCTACAAAGAAAGACTACTCTAGAGGATAAAAGCGCGAGGCATACCAGAATAGCTGCTCCAGTGGATCGACACGTTCTATTTAGCACAAATGGCGACCATCCAGATTAATAGCTAGGAGTCCGAAGTTCACAGCCTCCTACAGGCAGGACTACCTCAAGGCTCTCCTCTATCCCTAATCTTATTCCTCTTCTTCAACGCAGACCTTGTATAACGACTGTAAGAGAGTGGGTAGAGGGCGTGATAATGAGATACGAATATAGCTTCGATTTTCAAGGTAGGGTACGATTCGTAAGGTAGCTATTTGCTACCTTCTGAATCCTATTCGAATCGTAGCTAAATACATAGCCGAGCCGTAGTGCGGTTCGGGTAATGACTAAGCAGCCGGAATTGACCACGTGATCCAGCTTCCGTGGTGAAGTTATCCCCGATTCTAAGTTCTCCGCCTTACAACGACAGATCAATAGTCAGGGCGGAGCGATTGCTTTCGTGGATGACTTTACCGCATGGGTGACCAGGCCTACTGCGTGGAGTAATTAGGAAGGGATTGAAGCAATCATCACTAATGCGCTCGACTGGAAAAGGAGAAGTGGAGCGACCTTTGAAGCTAATAAAATAGCCATTATATACTTCACCCCCAAAGCACATAAGTTGGAACAGGAGTCTTTCACCATCAAGGGATAAGCCATCAAACCTAAAGACGATGTCAAGATTCTTAGCATAATAATAGACACTAGACTTAAATACAAGGAACACATTGCAAGGGCCGCATCCAAGGGCCTAGAAGTAGCAATAGAGCTTAGATGGCTTAGGGGTTTATCCCCGTCAACAGCGCGACAACTATTTATATTGACTGTTACTATAGCTGTGGACTACGCCTCTAATGTCTAGATGCACGCATTCAAAGACAAGGCCATTGGTCCAATTAACTGTGTCCAAAGGGTAGGAGCGTAAGTGATTGTGGGAATATTCCTCACCATCGCAACCAGTGTAGCAGAGGCGGAGGCTCACATCGCCCCTGCATAAAGCTAGTTTTGGAGATAGGCTGTGAAGATATGGACAGACATCCATACCCTGCTAGAAACTAACCCCCTTCATAGATGCACCAATCGGATCAGGAAATTTAGAAGATTTCACTGCTCACCACTATATCAGGTGGCAGATACGCTAAAGAATATTGAAATGAATATGCTGGAAATCATTAACCCATTCACACTAGCACCATAGAAGGAGCACATATAGACTGATATTAGTGAAACCCTAGAAACGCACACTGTAGCGGGCAGATCAATGTAGATCGTGGTAAGCAGCTCAGCATGGAATGAGATGGTAGGATTTGGTGGAGCAATCCAGAGGAAACCACCCCAGTATAAAAAGCTAAAACTAAAGACCTTCTTCTTCACACTAGGCATAAGACTAGAGCAGAACCCATACTTGGGGGAGCTAGCAGCAATGGCACACGCATTGAGCACGCTACCAACATTAAAGTAGTACAGAATCACGCTCCTGACGAGCAACAAAGCCACTGCACTCACATTGAGGAACCCTCAACAACAGTCAGGTCAGGAACATGTCTGCCAAATATACAAGTTGATTAAAAGGCTACGAAGAAATGGAAACCAGATCACTATCCGCTGGGTCCCAACCAGTGAGGATGATAAGCTATTAAGCCTGGCTAAAGAGCAGGCCAGGATAGCAACCAGAGAGAATGCTATCCCACAAGCATAGGTTCCCTGAATGAAATCAACGACTCTTAATATCGCACGATCCCAAAATATTATCAGCAAAGGCTTACCCAAGAAAGTGGGCAAACATATTAAAAGAGTAGACGCGGCGCTCCCGGGCAAACACACCCGACAGCTGTATGATTGATTATCATAGAAAGAAGCAAGTGTGCTGGCTCAACTCTGGACTAGCATAGCAAGATTAAATAGATATCTTTATTAAATTAACATAGTATAGACTAATCAGTGTGCATGTGGACAAGCAAGAGAAACTGTCGAGCACTTCCTCTTTTGATGTCAGAAGTGGACAGCATACCGGATAGAAATGCTGCAATGTACTAACACCCACTAAGGCAACATATCCTTCTTCCTAGGAGGAAAATCACCTTCAGATAATTAGAACTGGACCCTAAACTTTGAAACAGTATGAACTACAATACAGTTTATAATTACCACAGGCCAACTCAACGTCACTTAACTATGTAGACGAACACAAACCAATCACCCTTCCTGATCTCACTTACACCAACCACCTCGTAACAGACACGGTAGACGCGCTTCAACTGCCGAAGATAGGATGTTGAACACTTGAAGAAGCGCCTTCAAGCCAGCTACTAACAAAATTACTAACCCACGAGCATCCGCTACGATACTGACAGATGAGACGGCATATATTAAAAGTGATAATGTATGGGCTCCAAGGAGATACGACATATATATTAGGACATGTATTAGTAGATTAGTGATAGTTGCCCTTTCGGCTTGGCCGCCGGGCGTTAATATATTGTGTGTGTGTATCGAGACCGAATACTTATTTGAATAAAATAGACACAGCAGAATCAGACCTCTGTTCCTGCGGCCAAAAATGCCAAACAGGGGAACAGTTTTATTACGCTGTACACAGTGGACAAGGATGAGAGAATGCATGAATCAGTTCATGGAATGAAGGCCAGGAAATCTCTCCTTCTTCCTTGATGGAAAATGACGTTCAGATTTGGACCGATGGCAACTTGATATGAAGGTAGTTCGCGCAACAATCAACTATGCGATTGCAACAGGAAGACTAGAACTGGAACTGGAACCTGAACCCGAAGCAATACAATGAAGAAATCTTTGAA